GCGTGCTAACAGAGACTGGAGAGCAAAAATACACAGACAATAAAATACACAGAGAACAAACACACACACACACACACACACACACACAAATACAGACATCAGAAGCAACCCGTCCTAATAGTTGTCTAATCTGCGCTGTCTTTAGCTAGCTAGTAACAGTTGGCAGGCTAGTTCATATCTATGAATCAAGTATATATGTAGCCATCTCTGATGCAGACAGATGCAAGCTTAAACAGCCGAGTGCGGTGAGATTAAGCTGCTTTGTGACCATTGCTAAAAGCTCTATACAAATCAAATTCGATTGAACTGAATTACAGTGGTTAATGTAATGATGTATGCACTACATAGTTTGTCAGTATACTAATGGTGCCATTATTTAGTGTGCACTGTGTGAAGTGGGGTGCAGCCCTGAATTCTCCGTGAATGGCACTCACAGCTGTGAGATTAATCTATGCATAACCCACATTATCAAAATGTTCTTCCTGAAGTAGCTTGTGTTTTATATATATATATATATGTCAGATGTACAGAATTACAGTGACTGAAATTAATAATGATACAATATGCTGTTTGACTGCCCACGTCTCTTTTTCATTCTTTTCAAACGCATTCCACCTAAGATTTGAAGAATTACTGCAGCTGCCCTTCATGAACAGAGAGGATCATGGGCAGAAAAGCGGAGGCCTGAAAGAAAGGGTCTGGGGGAAAGACTAATCAAGTGGAGGGAGGGCCTGCATGCTCCCTGGCCAATAGGAGCTTTCACATCTACAGACACTTTGGAGTCCGCGCAAGTCATTAGTCCCATCTCTCCACTTAATAAATGCATGGACTGCTCAGCAACGGCTCTGGATTCGACTGTTTTTTGGGGTGTTTTTTTTTTTATACTGGAGCAAGCTTGCAGCATCATGTTGCAGTGTGCACAAACGTCAGCGTAGTAATCATAAATACGCAAGAAAAAAAGCCAAATTGAGTCAAAACCATACTAATGTCCAACTGGTCTCAGTGGCAGCATGCGTGCATGTGTTTCTGTCCATCTGCTTCAAGTCACACTTGTGCATCTGATTCGCTACAGGGAAATGACAGCCTCATGAAATCTGCTCACCTCCATCAAAGAGTAAGGCTGTGATACCATTTTGGTGCTGCAGTCTGTCCGAACCGCTCTGATTGCCTGGAAATGTGGTATATCATGGGATGAGGTTAGCAGCCCATGAAATGGAAATTGCATTATGTTTGATGTGATTATTACATTCTCATATATCCAGTAATACCAAATTAGATAGACATATCACCTTGAATGAAAGCAGGAAAAAAAAAAAAAGAGACTGCAGATTTCCCCCCCCTCAAATCGAGAATATTCTGCTCACAAATGTGTGAATCTTTCAGAATTTTAAAGCAACAATTTCACGTCTCACTGTAAAGGCTGGGAGAATGCCAAATTATTCTCCTGACTCACTTTCTTAATAGACCTTCATGAACCCTGGTGTCTTATAACTATAAACGACTAATAAGCAATAAACTGAGATGAAACATTGCTCATATCACTGCTTCTTCACATCGTAATCTCCAAAGCACTAAGAAATGACGGATCGTCTGTGCTGCAAATTGCTGAACACCCATTACATTTGACTTGTGTTTACCAACACGGTGTTGTGGATGGAGAAAGACCTTGACTTTCATTTTTTCCCCAGGTTTTTTATTTCCAGAATACACTAAGACAGCTCAGCAGGTGATCGATTTCCAGTCAATTACTATACATTATAACATACACTATGGAGAACACTATTTCTGTGAATTTGCAGCCTAAATAATTTATGAGATGGAAAATTTATTGATTTATTTTTTTTTTTCTGTTTGAATGAACTGTAACCCATCTCCATGCAAACAAAAAAATTCTGCTGTAATGATTTCCTCTTCCTTTGTGTAAAGTGAGGTGATATATCAAGAAAATAACATTTTGGCCTGGCATTAGGTCAATTCTAATACACTGTAATTAGTAGATAGATATGTAAATAGCGGCATCAATTATAAACAAGGCATGGAAAGTACTAGAGTACATGGTTCTTTTCTTAGCCCAATTCAATCATTGTATTTTTAAAACTTGAGTTTTTATTTAAACTAAAACTCTCTATGTGCATATTTTAAATCATTCAATTTCGACACCCAATCATAATTCAGTTTCCTGCCAAACGGCCTATGGTTCACGTGCCAGATGCTTTAATTAGCAGCAGCAATGTCTGGGACAGTGCAGACACATGAGCATTATTGTCCCAATTTATCAGGCATCTTCAGTTTTAAATGCTTCTAAAGAAAACAGCATGCTAATGATCTGCAAACTAATCAACACGTTAGTTTACAATATGCAAGCCTTGTCTTAAACTTAAGATGTCATTGGATGGTAGTGATTAAGTTCTATAGCCCATAGGCAACAAGTTATAGCCTATAGGCAACATTCAGGATAATACGTAGGCAGCATCTTTGCTAGATAGCTCATTATGTAGCTAGAAACATGTATGAATTACTATGAGCTAGCTAGCTAACAAACCTACCAAGCTGTTAAAACCGTAACAGCCTTTGGCTAAACTAGTTATCCAGCTAATATGACTTTTTATAAATATATACTTTACTCTTGATAGTTGAGGTGGTGCTCACCTGGTTAAAAATGCATTTCTGACAGTCAGACACAAGTCAGATCCCAGACAGACATGAGTCAGTAAGATGAATCAATTGCTTCTAATGTAATCACTCGTAAACATCACTTCACTTGTAAACAACACTTCCTACACACCGCTAACTATGGAAATGCAAAGCCAGTTGAGTTTGGGATGTTATTCGCCTTAAAACCAATTTGAGCGACTTACAGAAGTGCTTTGAAGTCTCTATCAATAAATACATCCTGATACTGGTTCACGGACTAAGAATACAATCAGTCTTAAAACTCTGTTAGGAGGTAATCCATTCACCCATCTTCTATACCGCTTATCTGTGTCAGAGGAACCTATCCCAGGGAGCATGGGGCACAAGGCAAGTTACACCCTGGACAAGGTGCCAGTCCATCACAGGGTACAATCACATACAACTCCAAAAACCGGAGTACCCAGAGGAAACCTTCACAGCAGGGAAGCACACACAGTGCGAGATTCCACGGTGGGAATGGAACCCCCGACCCTGTAGGTGTGAGGCGAATGTACTAACCACTAAGCCACCGTGCACGTTAGGAGGCTCTATAGTAAGAAAAACACACGGACAACACAACAATTTGAACCACTGTATACAGATGTGTTAAAAATAAAGTTTTAAAAATTTGTTTCACTTTTGAGTCATTCAAAAATCAATTATAAATTCTGTGGCTCTTATTACCTTACAGACCTGCCTGATTCATCCTGATGCTCGTGGTGCTTACGGCGCCGTGACTCACTTATGCCTACCCGATGGTCCCACATGAATACTATATTTACATTTTTCAAAAACAGTTTATGGCCTAGTCTCACCCTTGCTTCAGTGTATGAGCTCACCTGGATACTGTAGACATTATAACTACACTATAAGCATAAAGACTTTCCTGTACTTATACCATTACGCATGTTCACTATGAACTGTATTCAAAGTTAAGTGTGCATAGTGAGGATTTCATTCTGAAATTGACTGAATCTGGTGTTCAGACCTCAGACATACATCCTGTAAAATTCTTGGAACAGCTGGGCCATCCATCCATCTTCTACCACTTATTCCTTCTTCAGGGTCACGGGGAACCAGAAGCCTATCCCAGGAGTCATCAGGCACAAGGTGGGGTACACCCTGGACAGGGTGCACACACCCATTCATACACTACAGACACACCAATCAACCTACCATGCATGTCTTTGGACTGGGGCTGGGGAGGAAACCGAATTACCCGGCAAAAACCCCCGCCACAAGGCACAAACATTCAAACATATGGCCCCAGCAGGAATCAAACCCCGGACCATGGAGGTGTGAGGCAAACACGCTAACCACAAAGCCACCGTGCGCCCATGGCAAAAAAAAGAGTTTAGAATTTCAGCTTGTATTTCCTATGTATTTATATGCAGATGTGTTAAACAACATAGAACATAGCACATTTTGTATCAGACCACCCAATTTGTATGTAAGCAGAATACTGGAATATGTGACTGACTGGTTGTTTCTTTTTACCCAGGAGTGTCCTGTTATATCGACTGTTTAAACAAAGCGCTATGAACATCTACTCTTGGTTTTAGCCTTCAGTTTCACCTGTGAAGACTGCATTTGATGTTAAAACGGATAAACCAACATGAAGATCAGAGAGCTGTCTATGGGAGAAAAGCAAGCCATTTTAAAGCTGAAAAAGACGGAATATCGGTAAGAGGCATCGTACAGGCATTGGGAATAGCCAATAGAACATTGTAATGTCCATAAAAAGAAAGAAACTTATGGTGTACTGAACAACAGGCACCGAATGGGTCAGTCAAGGAAAACAATGACAGCTGATGACGGAAACATTGTGAGAGATGCAGAAAACCCTGGAAAAGCAACACAAAAGAAGAAACAAACAGTTTGGTGATGTCAGAGGGTCACTGGCTTGATGCAGTTATTGCAAGCAAGGGATATGCACCCAGATATACAGTGTTAAATTTACTTCGACTTGTCTGTTCCTATACTTTTGTTCACCTAAAAAATTGGGTGATCGGATACAAAAGTTGATACAAGATACAAGATGTTTTATGTTGTTTAACACATTTAGCTGTAAAATTGAAACAAAGCTGCTTATCCTTTACGGGGTCAGGGGGAATAAGGCAGGGTACACCCTGGACAGGGTGCCAATCCATCGCAAGGCACAATCACATACACACCCATTCATACACTACAGACACACCAATCAGCCTACCTTGCATGTCTTTGGACTGGGGAGGAAACACCCAGGAAGGAAAGGACTGGGGGAGGAAACACCCAGTCCAAAGGAAACACCCTCCCGCAAAACAGGGAGAACATGGAGAACACATGAAGGGCCACAGTGGGAATCGAACCCCCAAACGTGGAGGCGTGAGGCAAACGTGCTAACCACTAAGTCACCATGCACCCCTTTAGTTCAAAGGGGACTGTAACTATAGCTATTTAAGGAAATCTGCAAGAGCTACGCAAGCATGGTGGCGATTGTAGAAAATAGGCGTGTCTCAGTCACCAGTAATTCTGACTTTGAACTTAACCGTAGTTTTCTTGCGGTTTATCAATTGACAGTTTATGCCATTTCATGACCTCTGTGTAGCATTTTTTGGCTTCATTTAAGTTGAAACCATAGTAGCAGAATATCAAACTAAATTGCAAAATAATAGGATGTGCTGGATCAATTGCTAGTTTATAAGCTGCTGAATAATGGAAGCCATATTGTTCAACTGAACCTTTTTCTTCAGCATCAAAACTTGGCCATATAATATAATAAAGTCTGTTTATTTCAATGCTTGCCATTTTCTCCCTCATACGTCATTATATTCTTTTCATTAAAAGATTTTTCATTTGAACTTTTCTCTTGCATAATATATCATATTACATTTAACACAATTTCCTTCTTCAGTCCACATTTTGCATCCCTCAATTGTTTTTTAACTGACTTCAGCATGTGTGTAATCAGACTCTATTCATATTAACACTTTCCTTGCATGAATATTGATGGAACTTTTCTATTAAAGTCACCAGTGTGCATAACAGTAATAATGAACATCCTGTCAACACACTTAGTTCTACCTGATATATGGTGTCACCCAGAAGCAGATGGGTTTTCCTTTATATTGTCTCTGTATTTCCTTTGCCACTGTTGCTGCTGGCTTGCTCATTAGAGATCTAAATCTACATTAGGGTTTCTGCAATGCTGCTTTGTGGCACTGTATTAAACTGAACTGAACTATCCAAGCAGGTTTAACTCTCAGTAGAGGTGAAATACAGTATAATGCTAAGAACAAAGATCAACCACTGATCCTGTATCATCCACAGCCAGGGGAATCTGAGGGCTTGACAACAAAGATGAAAACGTTGTCAGTAGGACAGCTAATTGATATGCTGCGCGTGGCTACAGTGATGCTGCCTACACATGCCAAGACACGAACTGTGAGTAAATCTCTTCCACAATCCACTGAGATTACTCCTCACCAAAGGTCACACACTGCTTTTCTAACTACAGCACTGTCCCCCCCATCAAAGGTCGGTTTGGACAGTGTGATAAGTGAAGCCAGGAATACAACAGCAAAATCTCCAATAAGAGATAAAGTAAACAGAACAAGACAAAAAAACACAAAAAACAGTCATTCATGTGTATTAACTGCTTTATGGTATTGAGGATCGATCCAGGGTTCACCCAGAGTCTATTCCTAGAAACAGGGATCCATCCATCCATCCATCTTCTATACCGCTTATCCTTCTTCAGGGTCACGGGGAAACCTGGAGCCTATCCCAGGGAGCATTGGGCACAAGGCGGGGTACACCCTGGACAGGGTGCCAGTCCATCACAGGGCACAATCACACACACACTCACACTCCCATTCATACACTACGGACAATTTAGACACGCCAATCAGCCTACCATGCATGTCTTTGGACTGGGGGAGGAAACCGGAGTACCCGGAGGAAACCCCCGCAACACGGGGAGAACATGCAAACTCCACACACACAGGGCCACGGTGGGAATTTAAAGATTACACACACTGAAAAGATTCAAGTCCATAATGCTAAATGCCAAACAGAAAAATTGTAATTGTATATATATATATATATATATATATATATATATATATATATATATATATATATATATATATATATATATATATATATATATATATATATATATATATAAACATTCAGCTTACAGTTCTGTTCTTTTGTGTAATTTGTATGTGGACAGTGGGTGCTTCGGTTATTTTTAGTCTGTCATTCTCAAGGGTAGTTTGGGAGGGAAAAAGGCCAATCGCTACTGATGATACGTTACAGATGAGGTGAAAATGGGCTGAGAAATACTCTATCAGCCCACATAAAGATCACATCTAAGCGGTGTTTCACTCTGTGTAATCACCTGATATGAGTGTTACTGATAGGCTATGTAAATCTAGAAAGAAATCAGCCCCAGCCTCACATCTTCATACCAGTCTGTGCATTTTTCTTACAACCACTGGTGGCGCTGTTGTGCTTTGTTACAAAACTCCTGCTTTTTAAGACATTTGTTAATAGAAAATAATCTGATATGAATGCCAAAAATGAAACCTTATATTCATGTCTTTTTTAAAAACTTTTTTTTAAAAAGCACTGCTAGACCGTTTATACCAGCCATACCTGCCTGGAACACTGGGTGCAAAGCAAGATCACACTCTGTATGGAGCACTAATACATCACATGGCATCAAATCAATTATTTCACATTATTCAGCAATTCGCATGTTGGTTGTTCTGGGGTTTTTTTTTTTGTTTTTTGTTTTTTTAAAAACACACACCAAGATGGAAACATGCAAAAGTCAACACAGGCAGTAACCGAAGCTCAAGACTGAACCCCAAACCCTGGAGCTGTGAGGATCCCACACTATCTGATACACGACTGCGCTTTTATAAAATGGTTATGGTAAGGTTATTACCGTTATAAATTAATGTTTATTATTTTTTTTTTTCCTCTAATAAAAAAAGTCTTCATTTGACGGTACTTTATCCTGTTCATTTCACAACTGTTTACAAAAAATAACTGCAATTAACAGACTCTCTATGAAAGCCAAATTGAAACTTGTTAAATAAAACAGAGACAAATTAAAAATAGAGACAAAAACAAGGCCAAAAACAGCATTTCTGGCCGAGCTGCAATTATCAGAGAATAAACAGTGACTCTCACACCATTGCCTGCTATTAGTGAGAACATGGCATGGGATTTCACACATTCTTGTCATCAAGAGCCTCAGCGTAACTTTGGCTGGCTGAATGTGTTTATAATGAGTGTTTGAAAAAGAGACCAGCTGAAAAATTCCAAAATGACTAGGACGGTCTACAGAGTGAGAGAGAGAAAGAAAGGAGTGTTCGATCACTGCATAGGCAGCTGCAGAGACTGACTCAACGGCTTTGTAGCCTTGTTTGCTCTTGAGCCAGCAGCACTGAGCTGTGTGAGCTCTACCCTCTGTGTCCACTAATTGCTGTCCGCTGACCCGCTGCTCTCCACTGCTTGAACCTGGCTGACAATTGAAACAGGGACGCAGGGTGTTTACCCAGAGTGCTGCAGTGTTGTTACACTATGCCCTCAAACATTCCAGATGAAGAGCGAGCGAGAGAGAGAGAGAGAGAGATGGAGAGAACACACAGATCCCTTATCCAGTGTCCTTTAGTCCTTATTATTTGAGTATAGATATGAGTGCCAGGGCTGGCATACAAACTATTCTGTACATGCTTCATGAAATTGCAGTACTCATACAAGACCGGGTCGATTAATTAATTTGGATGATTAATAGATTGAAATTGATTTAAAAAAAAAAAAGGCTTGTGAGACTGTGTGGAATATGCCATCGTCATATCGTGCCCCATACCTACCACCGATTGACGATATTACAGTCATAACCTGAAGAACCCTTTAGATTCAACCGTGTTTTTTTTTCCCCCTAAGAGTGAAGGAAATATTGTGAAAATATATTCTTGCAATCTTAGTTTCTTCTCCAAGTTGTATGTTTTTTTTTTTAAACATTGGCCTTAGAACCACTGTATGAAGAGCAGGAGCTGGCACAGTCTCTGACTACGTTTACACGGACAGCGGTAATCTAATTATTGATCTTATTCTGAATAAGACAATATTGTGATTAAGGTGTGTACATGAGTCGCTTTTAGAATACTCCTTTCACGTTCAGCTTTTACGTGTTATAGAACATAGATGGATTAACAGCACACGTCATTACGTCACCGCGCCGTTCCGTCCAGAATTTCTCGTATCGACGTACACTTGGTCTTCATTTCCAATAGAGCACCTGCAGTAGAATGCAGAGGTTCGCAGCCTGAATGTGCAGCTGATAAATCTGCAGAGATGATATGATGCACTCATCACAACATGGACCAGGAACTCAAAGGAAAGTTTTCAACACCGTGTGGAATCCATGCCCCAAAGATCCGAGGCTGTTCTTAAAAGGGTCCCTACTAGTATAAAGATGATGTTCCTAATAATGTGACTGATGACTGTATATGCTTTACTGGCAGCTGTGTCTGCACTGGTGTCTGTACTCTGAATGTCTTTTGTCTACGTCAAGTTCAGATGAAAATAAAATACACTGTACAGACACACCCTCTGTGTGTGGGTTGCTGAGATCATGATGTTCATCTGTTTTCTGAATAAAGAAGCAACCACCTCCACAGCATTTCTTGTCTAGTCACTGTTAAAAGTAGATGTTAGATATCCAAATCTAACAAGGTGATGTGGAAACAGCTCATATAATAAACCCATTTTACCATGCTGTGATCAGTTTATCTGGAAAAGTCATTTTTTTCTAGTATTCTAGTATAGTATGAGAGAAAATGAAAAGTCTGTGTACAGATACTGCATATCCTGCAGAAAGAACAAAACCTCACTATGATCATCTTGTCAAAATTGAGGCCAGCAAAAACAGAGCTAACCTAGCTCCTACTGTGCTTCTAATCAACACCCCTAGCTCTAACTCTAGCTGTCCTCAGGAGAGCCTTAGTTCCTTCCTCTGACCTGATGCTGTAGTAGTAACATGTCTTCTGATGCCCTGCTGAGCACAATAGAGGACATCTTATAACGGTTATAACTCTGACCTTGTAACCAGGCAACAAGAATAACATCGTAATACAACACGTGACCTGATTAAAAATTATATATACACAATAGTATATACACATTTTACATTATACATCCATATAGGCAAGTCATTTTTTATTTCTTCAAAATCATGCGATTTTATACTACAATTGTTGGTAAATGCAATTTTTTTTTTTTTTTTTTTTTTGGGGGGTAAATCTTCACGGTGTACTGAGAAAGGCAGCAGCTTGCAGTGAAAGCTGCCACAGGCATTGGCCAAGATCCAGAAGCTCCATCTAAGAGTGACCACCCAAGGGAGT